CTTTGATTAACGAATATACCTTTCTTCGATCTTGCGAATTCCATTCCTAGAAAATATTTTAATGTTCCCAAGTCCTTGATTTGAAACTCACTTGCCAGATTTTTCTTGAGACCAGCTAGTCCTGCTTTATCATCACCAGTGAGAATAATATCATCTACATAGACAATCAGAATTGAGATTTTATTATTCTTAGAGTGTTTATAAAATATAGTATGGTTAGCTTGACTCTGGAGAAATCCATAACTCGATATGACTTTTCCAAATCGTTCGAACCAAGCTCTAGGAGACTGTTTGAGGTCATAGAGAGATTTCTTTAATCTGCAGATTTTATTCCAACCGAGTTCTTTTTCAAAACCTGGTGGCAAATTCATAAAAACTTCTTCCTCAAGGTTGCCATTGAGAAAAGCATTTTTCACATCAAGCTGGTGGAGAGGCCAATTTGAATTAACTGCAAGAGACAAAAGAACTCTAATAGAGTTAATTTTTGCAACAGGCGCAAACGTTTCCTGATAATCTATCCCGTAGGTTTGTGTGAAGCCTTTAGCTACCAATCTAGCCTTGTATCTCTCCATGCTACCATCTGCATTAAATTTTACGGTAAACACCCATTTACATCCCACTGGTTTCTTATCCTTTGGCAATTCTACTATCTCCCAAGTACTGTTTTGCTTTAGAGCATTCATCTCCTCCATGACAGCTAGTTTCCAATTTGGATCTTCTAAAGCTTCATGTATATTCCTTGGAACAAATAGATTAGTTATCCTAGATGTGAAGGCCTTATGACTATTTGATAGTTTTTCATATGAAATGTAGTTCGAAATAGGATATTTGGTACAACTTCGAATGCCTTTTCTAATGGCTATGGGAACATCAAGGTCAGAGACAACAGGTGAATTATTTTGAAAATTTGAAGAAGAGGGATTACCAGACAATGTTGAAGAGGGAGGATTATCAGACAGTTCAGTTTTATTTCTCGGAGTCTCAGATTGGCTTTGTGAAGGAGTAACTATTTGATCTTGGTTCCTCTGATTGAATTTCCTTCTAGTATAAAACTTTAACTCAGAACTAGGATTCGCAAAATCGTTTTGTAGTATTTCTCCCCYTGATTGGACAGTTTCTATGCTTGGCATCGAAGGAYTAGTAAAATCCAAACAGGTAGGACTAGGAAGGGGAACAGAAATATCCCAAAAATTATCTTCCAAATTCATTTTCTCCCCCTGAAGAGAATTTTGGGTAAAATATGGTTGATTTTCTAAGAAAGACACATCCATACTAACAAAATTTTTTTTAGTCTGAGGATCAAAACATTTGTAACCTTTTTGACCTGAAGCATAGCCTAAGAAAACACATTTAATAGCGCAAGGGTCAAGTTTTGACCTGAAATGACTAGGTGTGTGAACGTAAGTAGTACACCCAAAAACTTTGAGAGGTAGATCAGAATATATGCGGGATGTTGGAAAAATATTTTTAAATGACTCAA